TAAAAAACTATTATAATTAGTCAAAATCATTCAATATACCTATAGGAGGTTACAAAAATACAAGATTCTCTGGATCTCAAATAAAATGAACATAAGTAAAAATTAAAAGACAAAAATGCATATATACTTTGTATACAATAAATTTATAAATACACTTGATTATTATTATTAAAAGCATTTATATGAAAACGTATCCTAGTTTTGTTCACTCAGAGACATATGGGAACCTTTTCTTTTTCAAAGACTTTTACCATCTTCCATTTTCACATTTATAAATTGTAAAAGATATATTTATGAAACAAATAAGTTACTGAATAATACAGCCTCATGGATTTCTGTTAGAATAATTGAAATGTTTTATGGGACAAAACATAAATTTAAGGTCCACCAAAAAAGATTACAATTAAGAAAATGAAAAGCTTAAAAGTCAGCTTGGAAGTAAAAGAAAAATGAATCATTTTTACTTCAAATAATGAAATATAAATTAAACTGGCAGATTTTATGGAACCTGAATCATGCCAGAAAGTAGGTTCTCTGGCACAACTTAGGAAAACTCATTCCATGGCCCTTGTTCTTTCAGCTATGTAAAAGGTAATTCCTGTTAAAGCACTGACTTTTTAGTTACTACTTCAAAAGGGAACCAGCAGGTGTGCTTTCACTTAACTGTTTGTTAAAATCGTGGGAAGTCAGTACTGTGTTCAGCCAATTCCTTACACTTGGGTGCTTTTTCTTCCTCTATATCAGAATCTGTTTAACATTACAAAGAAAGATTATAGTAACAAACACATGCTTTTTTTGTATTCCTTCAGTTCATTCAGAATCTCCTATGTATAATCCCACACTATTGTTCACTCAGGGTAGAATCTTAGAATCGGGCTACCTGATCATTTTTTTTTTCTTTTTTCTTTTTTTTTGACAGGCGGAGTTAGACAGTGAGAGAGAGAGAGACAGAGAGAAAGGTCTTCCTTTTTTTGTTGGTTCACCCCCAATGTGGCCGCTACGGCCGGTGCATTGTGGCCAGCGCACTGTGCTGACCTGAAGCCAGGAGCCAGGTGCTTCCTCCTGGTCTCCCATGCGGGTGCAGGGCCCAAGGACCTGGGCCACAGCAGAGAGCTGGACTGGAAGAGGAGCAACCGGGACAGAATCCAGGTGCCCCAACTGGGACTAGAACTTGGGGTGCCGGTGCCGCAGACGGAGGATTAGCCTAGTGAGCAGCGGCGCCGGCCCAATTTTTTTTTTTTTAAGATTTTATTTATTTATTTGAAAGGCAGAGTGAGAGAGGCAGAGGCAGTGAGAGAAAGCAGAGTCTTCTATCTGCCGGTTCACTTCCCGATGGCTGAAATGGTCGGAGATGGGCCAATCCAAAGCCAGGAGCCAGGAGCCTCATCCAAGTCTCCCATGCGGGTGCAGGGCCCAAGGACCTGGGCCATCCTCCACTGCCCTCCCAAGCCACAGCAGAAAGCCGAATTGCAAATGGAGCAGCCAGGACATGAACCAGCACCCAAATGGAATGCTGGCACTGCAGGCAGCGGCTTCACTCTCTATGCCACAGCACCGGCCCCTCATCATTGTTTTCACAACTTCCCAGAGAGACATAAAGTGTACTTATGAACACAGTGTTAAGTAGAGCACCTTAACAGCACTCCTAAATCCCTACTTGTCATTATTTGGTTTGCTTTTATTTAATGAATACAATCATAGGTACAGCTTTAGAATATAGTGGTTCTTGCCCCAATATCTGCCCTCCCACCCCTACTCCTGTCCGACCTCCTACTCCTTCTCCCACACAATTCATTAAGATTCATTTTTAGTTAACTTTATATACAGAAGACCAACTCTATAGTAAGTAAAGATTTCAACAGTTTTCACCCACACAGACACACAAAGTATAAAGTACTGTTTGAAGACAAGTTTTACCGTTAATTCTCACAGTACAACCCATTAAGGACAGAGGTCCTACATGGGGAGCAAGTGCACAGTGACTCCTTTTGTTGATTTAACAATTGATCACGTCAGTGATCACCTGAGGCTCTTGTCATGAGCTGCCAAGGGTATGGAAGCATTCTGAGTCCACAAACTCCGTTAGTATTTAGACAGGGCCACAAGCAAAGTGGAAGTTCTCTCCTCCCTACAGAGCACAGTACATCTTTCTTTGATGACTCTTTCTTTCCATTGGGCTCTCACTCATGGAGATCCTTCATGTAGGTCATTTGAGCAACAGCTTCCAATAAACTGAAAGTCAGGTTAAGGGGGAAAGCTCTCTCTGGGGTCAGCGCTGTGGTGCAGCGAGTTAAAGCCCTGGCCTGAAGCACCGGCATCCCATCCCATATGGGCGCTGATTCTAGTCCCGGCTGCTCCTCTTCCGATCCAGCTCTCTGCTATGGCCTGGGAAAGCAGGAGAAGATGGCCCAAGTCCTTGGGCCCCTGCGCCCGCATGGGAGACCCGGAAGAAGCTCCTGGCTCCTGGCTTCGGATCCGCACAGCTCCGGCCATTTCAGCCATCTGGGGAGTGAACCAACAGATAGAAGACCTCTCACTCTGTCTCTCTTTCTCTGTAACTCTTTCAAATAAATAAAAGAAATCTTTTAAAAAAGGGGGGGGGGACTCTCATTCTCTAATTGTTCATTAATGGAATGAAAAACAAAAGTGCATTGAGCAATTGATACTGTGACCTGAAATAGCCCTCAATTAAGGGTAACTGAATAAATTTGCCTTCTTTAGGGAAAACAAAGCACAAGCTCAAACATCTTTGTGCATCACTTTTAAGACAGCTGAGTCATCTAAACTATTTCAAAAATTTCTTTTTACTACTAAGACTGTGCAACAAGTTGTTGCATACAGTACAATGACTTTGTATATTATTACGCTAATTTATAGGATTTTCAGAATATATTCTTCTTTTTAAGATTCATTTATTTAATTGAAAGTCAGAGTTTTACAGAGAGAGAAGGAGAGGCAGAGAGAGAGGTCTTCCATCCGCTGGTTCACCCCCCAATTGGCTACAATGGCCGGAGCTGTGCTGATCTGATGCCAGGAGCCAGGGGCTTCGTCCAGGTCATTCCATGCGGGTGCAGGGGCCTAAGGACTAGGGCCATCTTCTACTGCTTTCCTGGGCCATAGCAGAAAGCTGGATCAGAAGTGGAGAAGTCAGGACTCAAACTGGGGCCCATAGGGGATACTGGCACTGCAGGCGGTGGCTTTACCTGCTAAGCCACAGCACCAGCCCCCTCAATATATTCTAATTGGGTCTGGCATTGTGGTACATCAGGTTAAGCAACTGTCTGAGATATCAGCATCCCATTTCAAGTACCCAGCTGCTCCACTTCCAATCTAGCTCCCTGCTAACGTGGCTGAGAAAGCAGCAGAAGACAGTAAAAGTGGCTGGGCCCTTGCATCCACATGGGAGAACCCTACTTAGGTCCAGGCTCCTGGCTTCATCATTGTGGTGCAGTGGGTTAAAGTGCTGCTTGCAACACCATATGACCTTACAAATAAATAAGTAAATCTTTAAAATAAACAAAAAATATTAACCTCAAAAATTGACTCTGGGGCTGGTGTTGTGGTACAATGGGTTAAACCACTGCCTGCAATGCCGGCATCATTTGGGCACTTGTTCATGTCCCCGCTTCTCTACTTGTGATCCAGCTCCCTGCTAAAGCACTGGGGAAAGCAGCACAAGATGGCCCAAGTACCTGGGCACCTGCCACCCATGTGCCAGACCCGGATGAAGCTCCTTGCTCCTGGCTTTGGCCTGGCCCAGCCCCAGCTGTGGCTGCCGTTTGGCGAGTGACCAGCAGATGGACACCCCTCTTCCCTGCCTCTGTCCTGTCCTCCAGTCCCACTGACCACAGCACTCTACCTTCCAAATAAATAAAATAAATCTTATAAAAAAGGAGAATCTTCTCTAATCCCTTCAAATTACATTCACAATTATTAAATTTTTAAAGTTTTCTGACAATTCAAATTTCATTTATTTGGTGCTAAGGTTCTGGGAAAGAATTGTAGATTTGTTCTTAAAAGAAAATTAGGCTCAATTTTGACATGATTTCCAAATGAAAATTTGGCAAAAGGTAAAAACTACACATGGCAGGGTATACACACACACACACACACACACAAAGTCAAGAAGTTTGGATGGAAGTGGAATTAAAATATTAGTGTGTTTTAGTCCGAAAACATTTGAAATTCCATGCATAATTTTTCATAATACACTTTTTCCGTTTTTTGAAGACAACCCCACTCTCATATGGTTTTCTAAAGTAAGCTTGCAAACACTTCAGATTTCAACAGTTGTTGTATCACTCCACCAGATTTACAAAAAAAAAAAAAAAATCCAAAATGATCAATGTAGTGTATTCCTAAAGTGAAAAGCAATGGGAGAAGTACAAGTAAACCAGAGAGTGCAAGGATTCACAGCCTGCAGACTTGAGAAGTGATTATAGTCCATGTGACCAAATAGAAATATTTTCATGTCATTTTCACACTAGCTTTCCTCTGTACAAATAGACAATAAGGATCCAATGTTTCAAACAGACAATAAGGATTAAATGTTTCAACAACATTTATAGGTGGCCTCCTTAAATTCTGAGATGTAATAAAAATTATAAGAATATGCATAGCCTATATATAACATTTTTACTTTAGCTGTATAATGTAATTATTCCTCTAAAATAAAACAGCAAACATTCTTTTTCTTCATACTTGATTTAAGGCAGTTATAAACATCAAATAACTTCAAAAAGTTCATGGAAAACAGAATTAAAAGAAAAGTTCATTTTATTGCAAAATTTTTCAAAATTCATGCATATGAGGGATTTTCAAAAAAGTCACAGGAAATTTATAGTATAAAAAATTGTGACTGGTTTCAAAATTATTTTGCCATGAAAATTTACTTTTATTTGCATTTGTTTATGAACATTTTGAAGAACCCTTATTTAATACTGTCAATGCTGTTCAATTATATTAGATGTTCTTTCTTTTTCTCTTAAAGTGTATCTCACCTTGCACTTTGGACACTTCTGGGCATTTCTCTGTCCATGTTCAATTTCGCTGGCCCAATGACGCAACAATTTGTCTCCTTTTTTGTACTCCTTGCAGTTAACACCTTCATGCCAAGGAGAGTGGCACTTAAAACACCAGACAAATTGGCAAGTGGGGCACTGGATCTGTGTAAGAAAACAAGAACTGTAAGTACTAGTGGATACACTGCAACATCTCACAGCATGAGAGTGGTGACACTTGGGGGGATTGGTAGAAGCTTGTCCTTTAAAATAGCTATCCTTGTACAAGAACAAAACTACAGTAAGATAGATAGTGTTTTTAAAGGAGGAAAGAATTTCTTCAGTAAGGCCAATCTGGCTATCTGTAAATACTGGAATCAAATATTTGGGACATTGTGGAAATCAATTTGGCTTTAAGAAAATCTAGATTAAAGCACAGCATAAAACCCGAGGGCTCTCCATGCCCCAAATCCACACCCTCTGGCTTCCCCTGAACCAATATCCCTGCTATAGCAGCATTTCCCACGAAGCTCTATCTAAAATCATGGAAGCCCCTAGTTTCTAACAATTTTGGCCAGTTATTTACAAAAACAATGCAAAGCATCCTATTATTAGAAATATGGGTATTTTTTAAAAATAAGAATGAGTTGAAGTGGGTGAGTGTCAGACAACAGAACATTATAAGATATTTATTTCCCTGTCGTGGAACAATAAAAAGGGGATGTACATATCTCATGGGGCCTTGCTTTCGAATGTAGTGGTGGAATGGGGAGAAGTTAGAAGGATGCTGATTCCCTCACACGTCTGCCACTGTGTCCGAAGGGCCTGAATATGCCATTCAGTTCTCTTCTGTAGACATTATTCATAAGCCTACATCACCAGACTCCAGCATTGCTAAACTTAAAAGAAGACCTCTTCAGTTTTTAATCAGGCTTAAATTACATTTATGAAATGAACAGAAGAATGCAAAGGGCCTTTAAGACTGGAGGCTCTCCATGAATGTCAGACATTGAAGTGGTTCAGGGATCTTGGGGGCCACGTAGGGAGCTATCATGTATATGAGGTCTGATGAAGGCAATTAGAAATTTATGATTTGGAGCTGACAATGTGATACAGCAGGTTGAGCCTCCACTCGCAATGTCTGCATACCACACTGGAGAGCAGTTGGAGTCCCAGCTGATCCACTTCTGACCCAGCTCCCTGCTAATGCTCCTGGAAAGCAGAGGAAAATGTCCCAAGTACTTGGGCCCTTGTCACTCATGCTAGAGACCCAGAAGGAGTTCCAGGTTCCTGTGGCCATCTGGGAAGTGAATCAGCATATGGAAGGTATCTCTCTTTCTACTGTTCTGCTTTTCAAATACATAAAATAAACCTTTTCTTTTTTTTTAAAGAAACATATGATTCTCCTAAGGTACCAGATGATAAGGAATCTGACACTTGATACTAAACCAGTCACTCTAGCTCCCAATTTCTTATAATAACCAACTAGGTCCTACTGCAGATCCTACTGCCAACTCCTAGCAATAACACAGATTTAGTGACAAACTGTGACAGGAGTTACACAGCAAGCTCTCAAGTGAATACGAATAAATTAAAATTCACATCCAATTGTTTACTATCCCTCAGAGAAAACATCAAAATAGTGGTTCCTTTGTTTAGGGTGAAAATACAATAAAAGGACTAAAAACTTGGGGATGCAGAGGCTTTGCCTATAAAGTCTCATGCTGATTTTTTTTTTCTTGGTCTGAAGGTGCCTTATTCATTTTGACCTTAACCATGTTTACCATTGGTCTTATAAAAACATATTGAGACATCAGCATCGCACCTTCTCCACATGAAATGCCATCTCCCAGCCACTGGCTATCGTGCAGAGAGCACTTCCCTTCTGAATAACAGATGCAGGCAGAAGTCCCCAGGCTCTGCCCTTGCTACTCAAAGTGTGGCTGGAGGACCTGTGGCATCAGCATCACCTGGGAGCTTGATGGAAACAAAATTCATGAATCCTTAGCCCTTCTGAATCATGAGTTTGTATTTTCACAAGGTCCCCCATTGATCTGTATGTATGCCCAAGTTTGAGAAATTCTGCTTTATGCCTTGGAACCCCATGTCCCTGGGCACAGTTTATTCCAGGGATGAATCTAAGCCAAAGCATGTATTCACTGGCTAGCACAGTTCGCAAGATGCCCAAAAGGAGGTTGTCGTGAACTATGGGTAGCAGGGGTGTTCATTGTTAGATATGTCAAGACGCATATTCTCTCTTGAGAAGTAAACTGGGGGTACATATACACCCCACCTTGGCCATGAGGCAAGGAGATCACTGGAGAAGGTAACAGACATTCACTTCTGATGAGATGAGTGACGGGCTCTCCCTACCAGAGTAGTGTCCATTCTCTGTGCGGCCTGCCTAGGTGGCTACGGAGATGATTGTCCTGCCCTTGCTACATGATGCAGTGCTTACGGTAAACCTCACTAACAGAGGCAGCTCGAGAAAGCACATCTCTAGTTCTTGTAATTGGAAAACCCACGTCCAGTTAACATTATCTGTCTACTGACATTGTTTCCTGAGCACATGCTCCTTGCCTCTTCCTTTTATTTAAACATTTATTTAAGAGGGAGAGAGGGGGAGGGGAATTAGAAGAGGAGGAAGAGAGATTTTGAGAGAGAGAAAGAGAGACATGCAAGCAAATGCAAGATCCTATCACTGGTTCACCCTCAATACCTACATTGGTCCCAGGACAGAAGTCAAACCAGGAGTCTAGAACTCAATCTAGGTGTACCATGGGGATGGTAGGATACTTATGTCTTGAGTTATCACTGCTGCCTCCCAGGGTCTACATTAGCAGGAAGCTGGAGTCAGGATCAGTGCCGGATATCCAAACCAGACACACTGATATGGGATGCAGCCATCCTAAATGGAGCCGTAACTATGAGGTCAAATGCCTGCCCTGTTCATTGCTCCAAGATGTCTTCCCTATTCCTCCCAACCAGCTTTAGTGCATTTATACAAGACATAATCTCCCTAACAGCCTACAAATTCATTTAGGACAAAGGCTGTGTCTCATTTATCTTATATTTCCTGAATTAAGTGTCACAGAACTCTGGTATAAAGTAGGTACTCAGTAATTTATTAGTAAAATAAATCATTTTGCATAAAGTTTAGGTACCCCATGTCAGTTAACATTAAACAAATTGAAAGAGAAACTAACATATCTAACTAGTAGCTGACATGGTATTATTGCTTCCTAGATTGGTAGATAATGTTTACTAAGTACTTTGTCCTCTTTTTAATGAACATCATGACTAATGTTTTTATTTTGTTTTATATTAAAATTACTGAATATTTATTTTTTTATTTATTGAAAGAGATCTCCCATCTGCTGGAAAAAGAACTTTACATTCTATCTTTGACATCTGAATTCCCTTGGGCTTTCCCGAAATCTATGCTATACTGACACACAGATCACAAGTATAACAACCCATGTGCTCTAAGTAAGTGAATATTTTCTCCTGACAATCATGCCTAACAAAGAAACAACACACAACATAAACAGTCCAAAATTAAGGAGCACCCTAGAAAATTACTATCTTGCCTAAATCCTCTATATATCATCATTTAAAAATAAGCTACACTATCATTACTTAGCCAAGCCAAAATATCAGACACACCCTTGCATAAATGCAGCAACTGCAGAATAGGAACTAACAGAGTTGGTTCACTAGAACTTCAGGTTGAACAGACACTGAATAATGAAACATACTCATTTGTCCATTCAACAAATATTTATTGAGCAGCTTCAAGTAGCAGGTGCTGACTGTACTGAATTTAGGCTCAGAAGAAACAATGCAAATACTTGCCCTTAAGGAATGTATTAGGAGCAGCCAGGAACAAACCTGAAGAGCTGTAACACCATGCAACACAACTGCTAGAGTAGAAGCCTGGACAAGAGGGTGCTGGGGACAGGTGCTGCAAGGAAGGCTGGAACACAAGTGTTCAGAGAGGCTGTGAGCAGTGGGTGGAGCGTCACTGCAGCATGTGATGAGTAGTAGCTCAGACTCAGGTCCAGCCTGACCCACCAGAGAGGCCTGGGAGTCCATGGTGCCCTGGGGAAAGATCAATTCCAATGGAATCTGAACAGAGCCAGGACTTCAGCCAGCTCAGCCTGAGCCTTGCAAAAGTGTCCGATATACAGAATCTAGTATGTTCCTATAATGCTAGCATACCTCCTAAAACACGCAGTGACCCAGAAGCTCCCACTAGTATACATGAAAAGATTATGGCCACCAGACTACAGTGTGGCCTACAGAAGCTAACGAGTATGACAGATAAATGGGAAATCTTTTAGTTTTGCAGTTTTTCAGAACTAAGTTTTTAAGAACTAAAGAAGCTTTTCTTTAAGAGAAGTTGTGAAAAAAGTGCAAGGTGTTACAGTGAGGAGAAAGGGAATCTTTGACGCATGGCTTCAAATAATTTCAAGGAAGCCCTGGCTGGTCATTTACAGCATCAGATCCTACAGCCCAAGTGGTGGCGGGGGTAGGGGCGGGGAAGAGATTCTCCATACGGAAATACACAGTTTGACTTCTTGGCATGAGTATTATTGCCTGAGAATTCATTGCCTCCTTGCGGTCTCTCCCTGAATGGTAGTGCTAGGAACATAGGAGCTTCACAAATCACTTGTCGTGTGAACACAGTCCAAATGCGGTCAAATGACCTTTGTCTTGATTTCTCACAGCCCAGCTGAAACTAAGCTGGAATAGGAAAGAGAAACTTTCTTAAAGGTTGAGGACCCAAAGCAGACAAAAAAATGCAGAGTGTAACACATGATAAGGTAAGCTATATTGGGATACAGTGCTCATTCATATAAATAACCTTATTGGCCGTCCTCCATATTGATTGCCAGCCTTCTTTTATACGTGTAACATATTATTTATTGCATCATACATTCATTTAATACTAGCTTTTATTTTCAAGTGAGAGGCGTGCTTTCCTAGGGCAGCATGTCAGACCTCGGGAAAGGAGTTGTGTGCCAAACTTCCCCTCTCTGCTAACAGTTCATCTTGCCACTACCACCTGGAATTACCACAAGCATTTGTATCCTCTTCCTGGAAATCCAGGCAGCAAGGATCAGGAAAGTATTTGTCTGAGTCTATTTCTTATATGAGAACCC